AATAAAGGGGATGATTATCCTAATCCTATAATGATTAGGATAACTACAACATATGGATAAATACAAGGGAGGATAATGACAAGTCTTGGCCGCCTGGTATGGATAAGGATAAGGTGCTTGTCGCCTGGTCTTGGACTGAAGTGAGACTGATGTGGTCTGGTCCATTTCCGGATATGTCCCAACCATCATTTCTCAACACCTTATATTTTTGCTTTTTTTTTTTTCCGTGATCTCTATGGTTTTGCGAGTGAAGAGGGATCTTAGAAAGTGGAACCAGTCATCAATGTTTTCTCTGCTCGTTTTAATCATCTGTGCGATTCGTTAATTATTTCAAGTTTCTGGAAGGTTCTTCGACTTGTCATGTCTTCTTCTTCTTCTCTGATGAAACTCCATGGAAGAAGAAGGTTCTTCTTCGACTTGCAGAAATGGCCTCTTTTGAGATTCTCAGTGCAAAATGCATCTCCTTTCTCCTCTGTGAGTCGGAAAGGTCAGAACTTTACAGTCTCTACTGCTTACCTCGTTGAATCTCTGGGTTTCACCACAAAACTCGCAGATTCAATCTCAAAGAAAGTCAGCTTTAACGACAACAAAAAGGGCAACATTGATTCTGTTCTGAATCTCTTTAGAACTCATGGCTTCACAGATTCTCACATCTCAACCATCATCACAGTTTACCCACAAGTGCTTATAATAGCAGATTCTCTTGCTCCCAAGCTTGAGTTTTTAAAGTCAAGAGGAGCTTCAGCCTCTGAGCTCACGGAGATCCTTTCCAAAGTTCCCAAAATCTTGGCATCTAAAAAGGACGAAACTTTAAGCAGATATTATGACTTTACCAAAGACATTATAGAAACTGATAAGAGCAGCTCCAACTTCAAGAAGTTGCATCCTTTTTCTTTGCCACCACAGGGTAGTAAACAGGAGAACAAGATAAGGAACATATCAGTTCTGAGAGAACTAGGGATGCCTCAAAAGCTGTTGTTCTCATTGCTAACATCCAAAGCCCAGATTGTATGTGGGAAAGACAAGTTCCAAGAGTCCCTTAACAAGGTTCTTGAGATGGGTTTTGATCCCAGCACCACTACCCTTAGGTTTGTCGAAGCTCTGCGCGTTGTTATGGGATTGAGTAACGAAACAATCAAAGCAAAAGTTGAAGTCTACAACAGGCTAGGCTTTACAGTGGAGGAGGTGTGGACAATCTTCAAGAGGTGGCCAGTGTTCCTGTCATTCTCCGACAAGAATATAGCTGACTCTGTTAAGGCATTTCTAGAGATAGGCTTCAGCAGAGATGAGGTTTTGATGCTTGTCAAGCGCTTTCCTCAGTGCCTTGGGTATTCTGCGGAGATGGTGAAGAAGAAGGGTGAGTTTTTGGTGAAGGAGGAGATGAATTGGCCTCTAAAGGCTGTGTTTTCAAACCCTTCAGTACTTGGACTGAGCATGGAGAAGAGGATTGTCCCAAGGTGTAGTGTTATCAAAGCTCTCATGACTAAAGGATTGCTTGGAAGTGAACTCCCTTCAGTTGGGTCTGTCTTTATTTGCAGCAATGACATGTTTTTAGATAGGTATGTGATGAATCATGATGATAAGCAGCTTGTGGCCGAGCTGGTGTCTCTCTTCACCAGAGGTCGTGTTTCAACTTAGTAATGATAAATCTTAAAGCAGAGATGGTGTTTCACTCATTGATCACAGAGAAGGTTGAGCAATGTTACCAATGATGCCCATACTGTTTTGTGAGTGTCTGAAAACCCATTTAGTAATATCAATTGTGATTCGGATCCAACTTGTTTTTCATTCTGTTTGTTGTTTGTAGCCTAACAATCATCAGTTGGTGAGCTGTTATTACTCTAAACCATCTCCACAAGGTATTAAGAGATCAGAGAGAGACGCAACCAAACTCTGCAATATTCATTGTTCACTTCAGAGCTTTTGTGAACATCCGTTGCAATACCAATAAATGAACCAATACTAAACCAATTAACCAATTAAAAACCAGTTCCAGATTTGTCTCTGACCGGCCAACATTTAAACCCTAAAAGTCAGTTTCTTCTCCGACCAAAGATGTGACCTTTGGCGAGTTTGAGTTTCTACAAAATGAGTGAAGAAGATGGATGCAAAATGAGTAGCTGAGTGAGAGTCCTCTTCTTGTCTTTTAGATTAAGAATCATGTATTCACTGATACTCAATGTAAAGAGGTCTACTGAGTTGCAGAAACTGTGTAGTTTAGTATACTCTGCTTTCTCCTCTGTTTCTGCTGCAACTCTGTCTCGTAAAGGTCAAAACTTTACAGTCTCTTACCTCGTTAACTCCCTAGGTTTCACCACAAAACTCGCAGAATCAATCTCCAAGAAAGTCATCTTCGACGAAAACACCAACCCAGATTCAGTTCTAACTCTCTTTAAAAGCTACGGATTCACAGAGTCTCAGATCTCAAACATCATCACAGACCACCCAAATCTGCTTCTACAAGACGCTGAGAGCTCACTCGCTCCAAAGCTTAAGTTCTTACACTCAATGAAAGGAGCATCAACCTCAGAGTTCACAGAGATTGTCACCACAGTTCCTAAACTCTTGTCTAAAAAAGGCGACAAAACTCTCAGTGTCTACTATGACTTCATTAGAGATGTTATACAAGATGATAAGTGTAATCATTCTTCTTTGCTGCCACAGGGGAATCTTGAGAATAAGATTAGGAATGTAACAGCTTTGAGAGAGTTAGGTGTGCCTCGGAAGTTATTGTTTCATTTGCTTGTCTCTAGTTACCAACCTGTCTGTGGGAGAGAGAGGTTTCAAGAATCAGTTAAGAAGGTTGTTGAGAAAGGGTTTGATCCGAGAACTTCAAAGTTTGTCCAAGCGTTACATGTTGTTTACCAGCTTAGTGATAAAACAGTGGAAGAGAAAATCGATGTGTATAAAAGTCTAGGGTTTAATGAGGAGGACGTGTGGGATATGTTCAAGAAATGGCCTAACTCTCTCAAGTTCTCAGGGAAGAAAGTTACTCAAATGTTTGAGATACTGAAGAAGTGTGGTCTGCTTGATGAAGAGGTTGTGGTATTGTTGAAGAAGAATCCACAGTTCTTACGCGTTTCGGAGGAGAACATTGTTAACTCTGTTGAGACGTTTCTAGGGTTAGGTTTCAGTAAGGGTGAGTTTGCGTTGATGATTAAGAGGTATCCTGTTTGCATTGGGTTTTCTGCAGAGACTGTTAAGAAGAAGACTGAGTTTTTGGTTGAGGAGATGAGTTGGGGATTAGATGCTGTGGTTTCGCACCCTCAGGTGTTTTCTTACAGCATGGAGAAGAGGATGGTGCCAAGGTGTAACGTTATCAAAGCTCTTATCTCTAGAGGGTTGATCAAGAGTGAACTTCCTTCAGTGTGTTCTGTTTTGGCATGTACTGATAAGGTGTTTTTAAGAAGGTATGTGAGTAAGCATGATGACAAGGAGCTTGTGGCTGAGTTGATGGGTATTTTTACTAGAGTTCATAAGGCAGGTTTAAAACAATGAGCAATGTTAATGGTTTTATTGTCTATTAGGTTTTAGATAAGGTTCATAGTGACTCTTTTGTACCAAGGTGTAACATTATCAAAATTCTAATATCCACAAGGATTTCTTGGAAGTGAACTTACCTCCAATGGCATCTTTCCTGGTGATTTGTAATCATGCTTTTATTGATGTGTTCTGCAACTACAATTTATGATAAGAACAAAGATGAAGATGGGTTTCTGACTTCTGTACCTATCTTACAGTTGTGAAAACACTATTGATTTAAATCTGTTTAGTTTTCGTGTTTCAAGTATATATGGCATGCTTTTTATGATTGTTTGAATATGTAAAAGTAATTTATGTTTCTTTGGACTGATGTTATGTAAACGTTGCTTTGAATTTGGCATTTTTTGTTGTTCAGAGTTTTTCACTTTTACTTATGGTAAAAAAGCTGGGTAAATATATAACGAGGCTTTTTAATAAACAATTAGTGAGAAAATAAAACAAGAAAAAAAGAGTTATAAATGCAGCCTACTTGTTATGAAAATATAACATTTTATTTTGAAGAAGATTTGAGCCATGTCATATAAAACAAACAAAAAAATAAAATAAAAGCTTTCAATCGTGGGATGCATAACTCACATGAATCTCGAGATGAAAATAAACAAATACGATGATAGATTGATATCTTCAGAAGAAAGAAAAAATGAATACATAGAAATTGTTGTCTTTCTTTTAATTTTCAAGAATCAGAGTCTTTTGTCTTCTTCTTCTTGGGCACAAGATTCTTCATCCACTTGAAACTTATGAAGTCAACAATCTTGGATTTGGTATTGCCGGACTTCTTGCCGTCGGCACTTTTGGTGTTATCTTCCTCCGGCATCTCTCCGATCCCTCCCGTTCCCCATTGATCCGCCCAACTTGGTGCTTCACTTGTCATATCTTTTCACAAACTTAATAGCCAACAATCTTAGTTCAATCATATCAAAAATCAATCAAAGAAAAATAGCATAAACATCTAGAGATACATACCTCTAATGTGTTGGGAGGTCTTCTTTGGAGAAGAAAGACGATTTTGATTATTAAAAAGAGTGATAATGTGGAGAATGGAGACTACTAGATTAATAGTAGATGTGTTGTTCTTTTGTTTATAGAAAATATTGTATAATATTATTTAGGTTGTCCTTTTTTTGTCCAGGGTTGAAATCTTTAGATTTAATAATTTGAAAAAAAATATTATACATGTTTTGTGATTGTCTTTGGATGCACATAACTCAAAGTTTGTTCGTTTCCGACTTGCAAAGCAAACGTTGTTATTGAATATTTAGCTATAAAGCAAAAGATGTAGGTCGAGATAAGACATCTAAATGTCTCATTCCATGTCACATATTTATGTTCTGGTTAATTTTTTATTCAAACTTAAAGCCTTCTTTTCAACATAAATTGTATGAAAATTGAAAGTGTCACTAGGGAGATTGAGTTTTGAGTTTTGGGGGCCCTAAAGGAGATGCCTCTCGTATTCATCTACTGAAGTTTGGAGAAGAGTAAAAACCTAGAAACAAGAACAGTCTTTATTTTTATGGGTCGCCAATCTATGGATGTGGAGTCCTCGCTGCCTTCTTCGACTGCACCGGCAACTGCTGTAATGGCGTCTACGTTTGTTATTGGATTTTGATTTCACCCGCCTGATAAGAAATTTGTGAGATATTACTTGAAGAGAAAGGTTGTACGCTTCGATGTAATTGAGGAGGTTGATATCTACAAGCATGAGCCTTTCTCTGAGTTTTTTAATCTTTCTTTTTTAATATATTTTTGTGATTTGGTTTTCTCTGTGAGACATTAGAGTCTCTTGTTTCTTATTTTTTGGGTTTTTTGTTGTTTCCTCTCTTGATTCAATTCTGGGAAAATAGTTTAGCTTCATTTGTCATCGTTTTTGTTGGTGAAATTCCGTTGAAGATTGATCCTTTTTATTATGTGTAGGCTGTAAAACTGTGACATAAATCGGCTTATTAATTATGCAAAATTTAGTAATTTTGGTAGATTCCTTAAGAGTTTATTGCTATCTTGTGCTTCAACTTTTTTTTGCTTGTGTTTCAGGGAACGACGTTTGTTGTTATGTGTTTCGTTATCTGAAAGTTTTGAGTTTAGTTAGGTGTATTTCAGATTCCATTTCTTGTTAATTTGTGCTTCACAATGAGTTTGTTTGTGTTTTTTTATTAACATGATTTTAATCAAATACCAGTTAATATTAAATTAATACTATGATTGATTTATTTTTTATTTTGTTACTGTCCAAGCATCGAATGGCTAAAGTTTGAGTTTAATCACACTTGCAAATGGTTGAGATGCTTATTTACAAAAGTTGAATGGTATAGACAACAACTTGTACAGTAAGACAATTTCATTAAATGAAAACATACTGCATTTCTTGGTTACAAGAAAGTTTAACAAGCCAAAAAAAGAAAGCAAACCATGCTAAACTTGCTTAGAGCATCTCCAAACTTTTTCTATATTTGCTTCTATAATAGCATTTAGAGTCAAAATCACTCCATTCCTACTCTAGTTTATACTCTTAAAATAAAAATTATTATTTTTACCTCTATATTTAGAGGAAAAAATAACACTTCTCTATGATAGAGGCATACTTTTTTCATTCACAAAATGTTCCTTCAACTTTTTATTTTAACAATTATAACTAAAAATAAAAAAAAAATTAGTGAAATTTATTGTTTCTATAAATATAATTATATATTTTATTTACATAGTAGTTTGTAAAGAAATCTTTAGTGTAAATGATATCATAATTTTATGAATGTTAAGTTAAATTGGGTTGGTTTTCAACTTTGACAAATGAAAGATATTATTTGTAAAATTAAAAAAAAAAATATATCAAGAATATTCCTTTTTAGAAGAAGAAGAAATAGATAAATACATTGGGACAAATTCATCTCTACAATAGAGTTCCCTATTTTAGAGGAAAAAATAGGAGCACACATTGGAGATGATCTTATAACCGATTTGTAAAAACCATTCATCACCAGTTACGAGAATATTTCAATGCTATAACAAGTTTCCATATTTTCTAACAAAACAAAATAGATTATAGCTAAAGTTTGAGTTATATCACGCTTGTAAAGTCTGGGGTTACTTATCTTGCAGAAGTTAAATAGTATAGGCAATAACTTGTATATAATAAAATAAAGTTCTTTCACGATAACATATTACATCACTAGTTACAAAAAGATTTTAACAAGCAAGGGTAAAGCAAACCATGCTAAAATTTCTTGTAACCAAACAATTCCTCATTGGTTATAAGAAACTTTACCAACCCAAAAATAATATTAACCAAGTTAAACTTTTCCTTAACCAAGGACTACACCCAAAAGTCATTCTTGCTACAATTTAACTATATAGATCTATATAATACAAAAACCAAGTCAACTTTTGGATTTAGAAATCTCGACACCCACCATCGGTTCCACTCCCTCCAGATGACGTCTCTTTGCTCCATCCAGTTGTGTTTTTTCCAATGCTTGACCCAAAATTGTCATTCTTAAATGCGTTCTTCTTCCACTCCCCTCTCCAAAAACAAATGCATTGACACTTCTCCTTGAAAAGCTGGAAAAATAAGATTATAGTGGAACAGAAAAGTCGTACTAATTCAACAAAACTTAAATGGTGAGACAAAAACATCAGTAAGCTCATCATTTAAAACAGAAAACCTATCTGATTTGTTTCACCTTTAATTGTAAATTGATCACATACCTTAACAAGTCGGCGTCTTACAGAGATTTAGAGAAAAGAAAGAACACAATGGAGAGAGAGATGAAATTTTATTTTGGTGTTTTCTTGTTATATGTTTAAAATGTTGGAGTAAGCTTGAAGTTAAGTGAAAAAATATGAAGACTTGCGATACAAGTAATCCTAATATTGTTGAGATTTGAGATAAGTACAAATATGTTTAGGAGTTATCTACAACATATGTCGGTTTATGGTTAGGATTATCTTGTTAGCTATATAAGTAAACCTATCGAGTGATGATTAGGTTTACGAGTGTATGATTGAAAGACTCAAGGTTGTTTGAGTTAGTTTTTCCTTAGATTTATAAGAGAGTGATTCTTATTCAGTTGCATACACAAACAATATTAAGTTCTGGTTTCAATATTTGGTATCAGAGCAAGCATATTGAAACCATGGGAGATCTTATGGTTTCTACAACGAAGCCAAAGGAGACTGGATCATCATCAATAAAGTGCCCTATGCTGAACGCCACAAACTACACGGTATGGGCAATTAAGATGAAGATCCTGATGAAGCTACATAAGGTGTGGGATATCATAGATGCGGATGGAACAGAAGAAACAGACGGTGAGAAAAATAACATGGCCATGGCCTTGTTAGTACAATCGATACCTGAGGCTCTTGTTCTACAAGTCGGAGAGTTAGAGTCAGCAAAGAAGGTTTGGGATGCTGTCAAGACACGACACATGGGTGCAGACAGGGTTAAGGAGGCTCGCTTACAAACACTGATGGCAGAGTTTGACCGAATGACGATGAAAGACAATGAAACTATTGACGAGTTTACAGGCAGGATTTCTGAGATTTCTTCTAAGTCTGCTGCTTTGGGAGAAGAGATAGAGGAATCAAAACTGGTTAAGAAGTTTCTTAAGAGCCTTCCACCCAAGAAGTATATACATATTGTTGCAACGTTGGAGCAAGTCTTGGATCTCAATACAACAGGATTTGAGGATATAATTGGTAGACTCAAGACGTATGAGGAACGTATCAGTGCAGCAGAAGGAGTGTCTGAGGAACAGGACAAACTACTGTATACCAACTCGGATCAACAGTATACTCGTAGCACAAATGGAGATAACAAAGGCCCTAATGGAGACAACAGAGGATATAACAGTGATGGCAGAGGTCGCGGTCGCGGAGGAAGATCATTCAATAGAGGAGGAAGAGGACGTGGACGATACGTCTATCAGGCCCGTGATGTAGCCAGTGTCACTTGTTATCGTTGTGATAAATTGGGACATTATGCAAGTGACTGCCCTGATCGTCTACTCAAGTTACAGATAGCACAAGAGACCAAAGAAGAAGATACACAAGTAGCTGATGAGTTGATGTTGCATGAAGTTGTTTTTCTTAATGAGGAGAAGGTGAAGCCTAAAGTTCTTGAAGCAAACTTAGACAATGGCAACATATGGTACTTAGACAATGGAGCCAGCAACCACATGACAGGAGATCGATCTTACTTCACTGAACTTGATGAAACCATAACAGGGAAAGTCAAGTTTGGTGATGACTCCCGCATTGACATAAAAGGGAAGGGTTCAATCAGCTTTGTCTTAAAGAATGGAGCAAGAAAGACAATGTCAAATGTGTACTTCATACCAGCACTAAGAAGCAACATCATAAGCTTAGGACAAGCTACAGAGACAGGGTGTGAGGTACGAATGAAGGAGGAAGTTCTAGAGCTATATGATCGAGATGGGAAGCTACTGATACGAACAGGCAGAGGAAGGAATAGACTGTATAAGGTGACACTAAACTCTGATAGTCCATCATGCCTGCAGGTCATAACAACAGATGTTTCTCACAAGTGGCATGCAAGACTTGGGCACATTAATTTTGAAAACATGCGACTGATGGTTGATAAGGAGTTAGTCATAGGAATTCCAAAGATCAGTGTGAAGAAGACAACGTGTGTATCATGCTTGCTTGGTAAGCAACCAAGACAAACCTTTCCCTCTGCAACTACTTTCCGAGCTACTCAGAAACTTGAACTCATACACGGTGACCTCTGTGGTCCAATCACTCCATCAACGATTGGAAGAAACAGATATGTGTTTGTCTTGATCGATGACTACTCCCGGTATATGTGGACAATTCTTATGAAGGAGAAGAGTGATGCGTTTACAAAATTCAAGAAATTCAAGGCAACAGTTGAAGCAGAAACTACTCTCTCGATCAAAACATTTCGTACTGATAGGGGTGGTGAGTTTACATCCAAAGAGTTCAACACCTACTGTGAAGAGAATGGCATCCAGAGGCACTTGACTGCACCATATTCTCCTCAACAAAATGGAGTGGTAGAAAGACGTAACAGAACAATTTTGGAGATGACCAGGAGTATACTCAA